GGCAGCCGGGCTAAGTGGCTGGGTATGGTGATCGGTGGCTTCAGACACCACAGCCACGTCACCGCCTTTACAGTTATCCTTTCCTAAAACACACAATTACCTTCTCATTACCAAATATCTCCGATTTAATTTCTAGAGACAACTTGAATGTTGCCATTCATTTATGAAGATCTGTTAATAACCTGTTTTTAGAAACAGCTCATCTTTAAGTCACTTCCTGGTACTAAAATCACGTGAATCTGACCCACCCACAATTTTTCCTCCAGAACATCTTGAGATCAAGTATACAAATGTGCCAAACGCCTAGCAGAAATGTCTAGATTTTTAAAAAATTTTTATTTTGGTTCAAAACCACGAAGAAGGGTAAAAATTTTAAGATAATGTCGTAAGACTGAACCTCACCAGAAAAATGTGCAGCACTTCCTTTGCCTGATGCTAAACTGTGGACACTCATTCCGTGGCTGGGGCTCATACTTGGACTACTAAAAGGTCGAGGACTCACAGGGTAACTGTCTTGAGATTTTGGACTTCGGCCTCCCAAACATCGTACTTCACTATCTGTACCATTCACCATTTCTATAAACTGACGCACTCTAGAAAGAGAAAACAAAAACTTACATGATCTTCAAATTACTGTTTATTTAATAGCAACAGATTTCTGAAAGGAAATATTTTAAGAACTTGTATTTATCAGTAAATGTGGCCTTTAGATAGTATGCTAAAAATACTAAACATGGTTCCATATACTGTACTGCTTAGAATCAATTTAAAATTTTCCAGAAAAATGAGTATAATGCAAAAGACATTGTATCGCCTTTAATCAAGATTTACTAAGAAAGTGAAAATCTATCTGTAGCTATAATAAACAAACCAAAATGGACCTCATTTTTTTTAGCTAAAATAATCAAAACAATATTTGCACTTGGAAGCAAACCAAACAGGACATAAGAACATCATGTACTTTTTTTTAAACATCTTTATTGGAGTATAATGCTTTATAAACATGTACTTTTATATACATACCTACCTACATACAAAATAAGAGCCTAAGTCCCCAAGTTTCCTCATCCCTCTTAATCAAAACAGGCCACATTTAAACTCTGATTCTAAAGCAAGACAATTTTGACACTGGGCTTAGAATTTCTGGTGCTTAAAGAGTTTAAATCTTAAACCTAATGACACCTGAATTTTAAAATAACGAAGATTCATACAACCAATTAAAAAATGCCAAGTTAGGATGGCTATTATTTATGAAAAAACAAAAACAAAAGAAACAGAAAACAAGTGTTGGTGAGGATGTGGAGAAACTGGAACTCTTGTGCACTGTTGGTGGGAATGTAAAACAGTGCAGGGCTACGGAACTGTGAGGACTAATTTTCAAAAAATTAAACACAAAATTATCATATGGTCAACAATTCCCCTTTTTAGTGTGTACGCAGAAGAACTGAAAGCAGGGACTCTAACATATATTTGTACACCTGTTACGCTAAGTGAGACAAAGCAGTTACCAAGGACAAATATTTTATGATTCTATTTACATGAGGTATTTAGAGCAGTCAAATTCAAATTTATAGAGACAGAAAGTAGAATGGCGGTTGCCAGGAGCTGGGGGAAGAGAGAGAAATGGAGAGTCAGTGTTTAATGCGTACCAAGTTTCAGTCTCGGATAATGAAAAAAGTTCTAGAAAGGGATGGTTGAAAAACAATGTGAATGTACCAGAAACAATGTAAATACCAGAAAACTGTACATGCAAAAATTGCAAATTTTATGTATATTTTTACCACAGTTTTTTAAAATGCCCCAAACTTACTATAAGGCACTTTACAGGAGGAAAAATAGACACCCATCTTCTAAGTCAGACTTTCACATTCTAAGACACAGGGACAGAATGACAAGAGTGCAAACACAAAGCAACAGCTGCCTTCTGCCCACAGTCCTCGACACAGAAGCACATTCTATAACCTGTCACTTAAAGGGGCTAAATTACAAAATTATATCCAAATATCTGAAAGCATGAAAATAATTTTGATTATATAATACATACATGTATAATTAATATAACATTTTATTAAACTCACTTTAATGTGAAAAGGAGATTGGGATTTCTTTCAAGTAAACTTGGGTATAACTGTTGTGTTGTTTCAATGGCTTCTCCCATTCTTCCTGCTAACACCAATTTCTGAATTCCTATTTAGAAAAAGAAAGCAAAAGATAATTTTTTTTAAAAAGAACAGAAACAGAAACTTAGTGGATCCTCAAAAAAAATTTAGTAAAAAATCTTTAAATAAATTATCATGATTACTTTCCACTTCTTTTTCTAACTCAGTTTCTACTTCAACGAAAATTTTCAGACAAATTAAAAAATCAGAAAAACAAGTACTTCAATAAACTACTAAAAAAACCCCACAAACTCACATACAAGTAGCATAGGAAAAATACCTGTTAAGCAACACTGATGTACTAAACACTAAAATGAAAAAGATGGGTACGTTATGGCATACACTGTGGTGATGATTTCATGGATATATACTTATCTCCAAATTCAGCCAGGTGTATATGCTAAGTATGTACAGTTTTTAACATGTCAACCATACCTCAATAAAAGTGGGTTTTTTTAAAAAAAAAAAAGACCATAGGAAACATTAAAGAAATAATATTCCAAGTGTCTTATCAAATACTATAACCTTTTGCACCCAGTACTAAACGAATGCTAGCCTTTGAGTAAGACCTGAATCCAATAGCTACTCAGTGAGCAGTCCCTGTGGGTTAGATGATGGGGATACGAAGAGTAAGCAGTCACCTCCTGCTTGCCAGAGCTTACAACGCCGTGAGAAAGACAGGCAAGCATACGATTAGCTACAACGTAGTGTCATCAGTGCTATCACAGCAGTCTGACCTACAAAAAATTTGTTTTCATCCATCATGATCTCACCCGTAATGTCTTGTTTTTATCCCTATACTTTCATCAAGCCATGCCCTCCCTGATGGCCTAACCGCACCAATCTTTGGATGGCTACTGTGGACCAGCTGTTATGCTGACCTGCCCTGGTTGGAACAGACTCCACAGCTCTGGCCACAAGCACCAGGACCTAAGCCATAAATACTTAAGATCAATACTATCTTAAATTTAGACAGCAATTTAAATGCAAAGATACCTAAATTTATTTTACATGTTATCTCCACTAACATCTAATCGTGGACTACTTTACCAATTTAAAACAACACTGTTTAGTAAATGTTTACTTCCTGAAAGCTCAAGAAAACATATTTTAAGAAAAAATGGCAAACATTTTTACAAAAATTTCTCCGAAATTGTATCTTTCTACATCCAGGATGCTAATACGTGAATTTTTTAATGTAATCTTCAAAAATGTCAATAAAAATAAATTTCAGAGGCATAATTTCAAGTTAATATATTTGAAAAAATTTTAATTTAAAAAATAAAATTTCTAAAAATCAATGTAACCAAACCTATAATCTGAAAACAAGTGTTAGCCATGCACCACAGGGTCCTTACTTTGTCTATTCTTAATGGAAGCTAATTCTTCTAGAACGGTCTGGTCTGTAGATCTGGCAAAGGCCTCTGCTGTGGCACAGTACCCATGGTGGACTAAATAAGATGAAACCATTCTTAAAATAAAAAGAAGAAACACACATCTTTTAGTCAAGAGAATACATGCTTCATACTACAATTTATATAAACAAGGTCTACTCTGATATTACAAGACCAACCTATGCCGTTGGAACAATTAAGGCTTTAAGTACCTCAACTTTAAAATAAGTTAAAAAAGATCATTTTGTCTTATTCATGTAATATTTCCAAAAAGATAACTGCAAATGCTGAGGTGACACTACTCTCCCTAGAAATAAGTATTGCCAGAGAATCAAGGACATTAAATGACTTTGATTCTTGGTACTCCATTATCCCCAGGTCCTTTCCTATTATTTCCCATCCTTATTCAATCGTACTAACCATAATTTCTATTTTACCTTCATCATATGACTTATCCTAGTAAAGTGTTGCCATTTTGTAAAATAAAACAATTTAAAAACAACAGATTAACTCTTTGTGTTCTGTAGTTGAACCATTTTCTTTATCCATCAGTTACATAAGATGGGATCACAAGGTGTGAACACAAAAAATACTAAGGTGAACCCAGAGAGAGAATCTTCCAGAACAAAGTCTGAGGGTGATAATATTAATCAATGAGGAGTCAGCCTTCTAATCTAAATCAGTTAGTATGGTCGTGCACAGGACATTAATTCCTCAAATATGATTTACATGTAAGGGACACTGCCAAAGAGAAAGTTTCTTTTTTTAAAAAGCTACCAAGTGGTGTTGGCATTTACATCTAACCACAAAACGTTAGAAAAACTGTTGACTACACGATATTAACTCGAATACCCAATATCTCTCTAAACACCCAACTTTTAAACCTGCCTCCATCCAGCACAACTAAGGGGTCCATGAGAAAACGGTGCGAAGCAGTGGTTCAGGAAAAGGGGACTGAGGTGGCAGAGGGGAGGATCTCTAAGAACCAGATTTTTTTCATTTTATTTCATCTAATTATTCAAATTAATTTAAGAGGGTAGGGGAGAACCTCTTAAAATGGACTTCCCAGGAGGTCATGGTGAGTATCAATGTTCTGAAGCATGGGGTAGGGGAGGGTGCCCTCACTGAAGCCTGGCTATAGGATTGAGATAAACAAGGCTTCCTCTACAACTATCCTGCCATGTTGCTCAGTGGTAACCATTTTCAAAGCGTTAAGAGATGTGACCCCCAGAGAGCAGTCTATCCTAGCTCTAACTCTAACTCATGGCAACTATGGGATTCTGAGTCAGTTTCACTATTCTTTCAACTGTGCAAGACAAAATACTAGTGTTGAGGCTCTGGTAACAGCTCTAAGGAAAAAGCTTGTTTTCAGAATCATCATCATGTCCAAAATTATCTCCTCAAAAAAATATGCAAAGTTTTATTAGTTCAAAGCAATTATACAGACATTTAAGATGAACTGTGTCAAGCTGATGGTATCTTTAATTTTCTCAGGTTATATTACAGTAGGGAGAATGACAATTTAAACTTACTGGTATTTATTTTAAAGTCTACACTATTTCAAGTTCTAAGAGCTACTATTCAGTACTACTGGCATTCATGTGTCATGATTGGAATTCTACCTTTTCATAAAAAGCTGCCTAAAAAAACAAGTTGAAAATTTTGGGTAAAAAATGAGGAGATAAGCAGTACTTTTATTGCCCCCCACTGTTTGCTCTGCTGCTGCCCATCCTCTACCACTGTTACTACTGACTCCTAAGTATTTAACCCCCATTGAGGCATCTTAACTCCATACTCACTGTCCCTTGGTCTTTATTCCCTTTAGCTCCTCTTAAATGTCTAATTACAGAATACACAATAAGTAAATGGAGTTTTAAAAATTCCTTAAGCTGGAGGCTTTTAGTCAGGGGAAAAAAAAGGGATCCTAGTAAACAAAAATAGCTGATATTCTTCTTACATAGCAACCCATTCACTGGAAAAATTTAGCCAAATCCTGAAACGTGAAACGTACACATCAAGTCTGTATTCCAGTATGTAAATTACACCATTATTCTGATGCTTATTCTTACTGAGCAATAATTTTTTCTTCATAAATATTTGCATTACTGCTGAACAACATAGCCAAGTTCACGTCCAAATACCACAATGCTGAATTACACAATCTAAATTATCTTTCTGAATTTATCTTTTGCATTGGCACTATTAATAGTTGAATCATGCAACCTATGGAAACCGTTAAATCCTGTTACTAAGGATAGCAAATGAATTAACCTAAGCGATCTAGTGTCACTTTATTTCTTCCAGCAAATTAATAAATCAGACTAAAATACAAATTTGGTATGTGTGTCACCAAATCAAACATTATTAATACATTAAAATCATTAGGATATATATTAAAAGATTAAAAAGCCTCAATAAATAGTCTTTCACACCAAAAGGATGAGATGTTTTATAAAACATGTACTTCTGAATATGTCAATTCACATTTCTTCACTCACTTTTGTATCATGGTCTGCCACTCTCCTTCTCGATCTCCAACAGGAAACCGGTCTATCTGTGCCTGTATTTTGGTTCTCCACTCTCGCATGTAATCTTCTATATCAAACACGAAAGGATGTTGCCCAAAGTTAGCATCGACGACTTCTCCTGGTGTCTGGAGCCCCACAGTAGGATATAAATTGGGCTGTAAGACAAACACATTTTACTAAACGTCTATCCCTTTTATGTTAAAAACATATTCCTTCTTTCAAATGCTACAGAACTACAAATTTACTCCATGAATATTTTAAAATCTCAATCAAAAACTAGTAGAGGAAGACTAAAGCAAATCATCTAAAATACATTATATGCTGGATGAAAACTATCACTTCCTGTAATCTAATCATCAAAAAAAATACGCAGCAACCTAAGCTACTTATTTATTCAGAGACCATGTGGCATTATACTTCTAATAAATGAAGACACCATTCTTGCTCTTAAGAATATGTCATATAATAGTTGTAGAGATTCGAGTATAACGCAGGTTTATCCTTCTATGTATGATATAAGCGATGCATTTCTAGAAACTGCACGTGAAACTAGTTACTATGAAAGTACATCCTAACGAGGCACGTACTATTCTACAATTTCACTTATCTGTACATCTGGGATGCCTTTATTAAGGGATCGTGATAAGAACTTAATTATAAGCAAAACAGTGCCATTAAGAATAGAGATTCTTTACATAAAAATAAAACGTGCACATTTCAAGAAAGGGAAAGGAAGGATTTAAATATTCAGATTCATGAAGAAATGCATTTACTCCAAGATATACTCCAAAATTTCGAGGTAAAACAATCAAGTTTAATAGCTTCAAAAATTTTGTACAAAAAATACAGGAGTCCTTCTTTTGGTTCTATCCCTAGTTGTTACATCTAAACGGAGAATAAGTTACTGAATGTCTACTAAACGGCCAGGTTTGATCATAATAATTATCCTGTTAAATCATTATTATTATTATTTGCATTACAAAGATACAGAAACTGAGGATTAGGGGTAAATTAACTTGCTCACAGTTGTTCTACACTATGGCAGAGGTGGGATTAGAACACAGGTTTATTTAACACCAAATTTAAGTTCAATTTTTCTTTCTGTAACTCCAAATCCTACTTCATCTTCAGTCTCTGTATTTATGCCTTATCTCTTTGCTTTAATGGTTATCACAAGTATTTTCAGTACAAAATTAGGTAAAGACTGAGTATAATTCGTGTGTACATATAAGGTGCTTAGATAGATTTCACTGCAAAAAGCTAAGAGGGTGTTTTTAAAATCAGCTGACCAACCAAGCAACCAAAACCAGAAACAGAAGGAGTACTGTGTCAAAATATTGAGAAATATACTCACACTGGATTAGGGAAATAAATGGTAACACAACGCACACAAAGGTACTGAACAAATGTACTGATTCTTAACAATCAACAAAACTTGCAAGTTAATAGAATTTTAAGCCGAAGACAAGTGAGATACTTATTACAACCTTCTCATTTCACCAATGAGAAAACTGAGACCTAAAGAGCTTAAGGGGTGTCTCCAAAAGCACACAGCTTGTTAATGACACACATAAAGGAGAAAACTCATGGCTCTCTACTCGTAGCACAGTATTCTTTTCATGAAATCCCATTACAAAATTGTGACATACTTTAAAACAAAAATATATAAAGCCAAAGACTCTTATGTCAAGAAAACTAGACTTTATAGAAAACAATCTGCCACACATATAAGCATCAATGTTCCAAATATTAAAAAATATTCTCACAATATAGGAAGACAAAGATTACTAGTTCAAAAAAATTTAATTGGCAATAGATAGGCAATTTGAAGAACTATAAGATGATAAAAATATGAAGAGACATAGTGAACTTTTTAAAATGCAAATTAAAACAAACATATTTTTGCACAGCAGATTAAGATTTTAAAGACTGAGAATAAATACCCAGTACTGATGAACGGTGGGAAAATAAGCCCTCTCATCCACTGTACATACCAATGTGAACCCACAGAACCTTTTAAGAAAGAAATTCAGCAAAATCTATTAAAACTGACAAGGCAATTTCACTTGTAAGAAATTAATCCCACAGAAAAACAAACGTGCAAATATATATGTCCCACAGCATGATCTGTAATAGCAAATAAAAAATTAAAAAGAATGTCTATTCATAGATGGTATTATATACCACAATCATTGAAGCTCAGACCCCACTAACTACAAGATTTACCATTATTTTATGTCTAAGCAAAAACACTGTCCATTAAACTCTGACAGGCCATGGATTCTAAGATGCACCCCATATCATAAATGTTAAAATATGCAAAAATGTACATCTTCAAATTGCGGTAGTACATCATACAATATTATAAAAACAAGCAAAAAGAAGAGTTTAAAATGTGTATACTGACACAGAAAGAGGCCCAAGATACATTACTAAATGAAGAAAGCAAGCTATAGAATAGTGCCTCAACTACGACCCCGTCTTCTTCCAACCTACATTTAATTATGGAGATACTGGCTAACATAAGTTTAAAACAGATCTAGAAGGGTATACACTCAACACAATCATTGTATCTACAGAGGCTGGGATTATAAGGAACTTCTCTTTTATACATTCCTGTATTTATAAATATTTACCATTTGACTAACACTCTGTATTACCTTCTGTAATCAGAAAGTGATAAAAAACTAAAAATGACAAAGTCAGTTTAAGCTCAATTAAAAGTAACTAACTGTACCTTTTATACCACTTACTCAACCTTAAAACTTGAGGGAGAGATTAAGGACACAGCCCTTAACTGACTAAACTACAAATTTTTAAAAATATAATAGACTTCTAAATTGCTAAATTATAGATTTCTAAAAGCATAATACAACAATGCAATGGGTCTCAGTATAGTCACAGAGTGGTGCAGCCATCACCATCTAATTTTACAACATTTGCATCACTCCGAAAAAACCTCCATACCTATTAGCAGTCACTCTCTGTATCCCACCAGTTCCTAACCACTGACAACCACTAATCTACTTTCTGACTCCACAGATCTGGATATTTCATATCAACACAATTATACAATAGGTGGTCTTTCCTGTCTGGCTTCTTTCACTTTGCATAATGTTTTCAAGGTGCATCCACGCTGTAGCATCTATCTAGAGTATGGATATATGTAAAACAATGTTTTCAGGGAAACTGATTTTAAATTAAAAAAAAAAAAAGCACTCCTGCCTATGTAGAATTAGAAGTGAGAATAATTTAAGTCTCTATGAAAAGAATAGAAAAATACATAGGTCTCATTTCTATTAACCCATGAAAGATGAAGACAGCTACTAAAAATGCTATTCAAAAGCTAAGTATACACAATAAAATTATATCATAGTTTTGTTCTTTTATATACAAAAGATTTTTTTCTAAAGAAAACTGAAGCAAATAATGCTTTCTATAAAAGGCAGATTTCAAATCAGGCCAAGGAACTAGAAAGCAGCATCATTTTAAACGTGAATAGCTTCTATAACAAAAGAATTTATCTAACCCCAACTGAATTAGTCAGCTTATACATGGACATTTCTCAAACTGGTGAGGTGAGCTGGGGAAGAAAGATCATTTTGAAAAACATCTAAGGTTTTCTGAGATGTAAAGCACCCTATGTTCCATAATAGGTACACTTTTTTTCTGTGAACATACTCTCCACTGGGATTGAATGCTACAACTGGCTAGTGAAGGATCACAGGTACACAACATAGAAACACTTGTTTGGTGGTGCCTTTAAGAGAAAGACTAACTTCTTCTTTCCTTTTTAAGTAGAAGAATGATATGTTACATGTGGAAGTCCCAGATCTCACAGTCATAAAAAAAAAAAGAGAGCTCTCAGAGGCACTGTATCTTAAAAGAAAACTTACAACTACCACCATAACCACCACTTTACCCACTGCTACAGAGCTGAGTAACAACCTTAGTTAATCACAGACAAGGCAAAAAATAGAACTGGCGATTCTAAAGCGGGACAAAAAATAATCAGAAGGCAACACAAAAATAGTCAACATGTCGGGTTTCCCTGGTGGCGCAGTGGTTGAGAGTCCACCTGCTGATGCAGGGGACACGGATTCGTGCCCCGGTCTGGGAAGATTCCACATGCCGTGGAGCGGCTGGGCCCGTGAGCCATGGCCGCTGAGCCTGTGCATCCGGAACCTGTGCTCCGCAAGGGGAGAGGCCACAACAGTGAGAGGCACGTGTACCGCCAAAAAAAAAAAAATAGTCAACATGTCTACAACTAGCTAAGCCTTTTTCAAATGATCCCCACTAGCTACCAGTGAGGAACAAAACCTGCTAACTGACAAGTTGGTTTTACTTGCTCAGTGCCACAAAAAGAGGGGGAAGAAAGGAAAAGCAAACCAGCTACGTAGGCCCTTTAACGCAGCGGTGCCCAACCTTTCTGGCACCAGGCACTGGTTTTGTGGAAGACAATTTTTTCACAGACTGGAGAGGGGAGGGGATCAGGCAGTAATGCAAGCGATGGGGAGAGGTGGTGAGCGACATGTGGAAGTCCCAGATCTCAGTCATAAAAAAAAAAGGGCAGTGACAGGGAGCAGTGGGGAGTGACGGGGAGAGATGGGGAGTGACAGGGAGTGATGGCAAGTGACGGGGAGTGGTAGGGAGCGATGGGGAGCGGTGGGGAGCGGTGGGGAGTGACGGGGAGCGACAGGGAGTGATGGCGAGTGACAGGTAGTGATGGGGAGCGATGGGGAATGCCAGGGAGCGGTGGGGAGCGATGGGGAGTGACGGGGAGCGGTGGGGAGCAGTGGGGAACGATGGTTAGCGACAGGGAGTGGTGGGGAGGGACAGGGAGCGGTGGGGAGCAGTGGGGAGTAGTGGGGAGTGACAGGGAGCAGTAGGGAGCAATGGGGAGTGACGGGGAGCGATGGGGAGTGACGGGGAGCGATGGGGAGTGACGGGGAGCGATGGGGAGCAGTGTGGAGTGATGAGGAGTGGTGGGGAGCAACGGGGAACGGTGGGAAACGGCAGATGAAGCTTCACCGATCGCCCACCGCTCACCTCCTGCTGTGCGGCCCGGTTCCCAGCAGGCCACGGCCCGCCACCAGTCCGCAGCCCAGGGTTTGGGGATCCCTGCTTTAACCAACTCCATTCGGAACGGAGCCTTAGCA